CTCTGTCTGAACAGTGAGAACACTGGGTACCTCTCTGCCTCCTGCCTGAGTAGGCCGCAGCTGCGCTCCATAGTTCCTGACCCTGGCTTGCTGCTCCTCCGTCCAGCCTCCCACAATGCTTTAGAGGATGTGTCTGAAACCCAGGGCCTACAGGGCGTCACCCACTGCAAACACTTCATGGCTTCTCATCGCCCCTCCAGAGAGCGCCCCGGGGTCTTAGCACAGGCAGAGCCCAGCACAGCCTGCCTGAGCCCACTGTCCCCCGATAGGGCTCCCTGTTCTTGGTCTGCAGGTCCTAGTCCTCCTCGCTGCCTTCCCTCCGGCTCTGCCCTCTGCCTGGGAATCCTCCTTCCTCTGCTCACCCCAGCTGTGACCTGTCCCCTCTCCCCTTGTGCTTTGCCATTTGCTTCACGTTTAACCTACTATTGTAACTATTTTTCTTTGCGTCTCTATATTTCAACCTAAGAAATGGGCTTGTATCAAGACAAGGACTACGTTCATTCTGGAACATAAAGGATGCACCAGATTGTCACAATGTGGTATGAAAAATGATGAAGGGAGTTGAGTTGATTTAGATAAAGCAGAACAGGCAGCAGTAGCCATCCGGAAGTATCTTTTTATTTTATTTTATTTTTTTGACAGGCAGAGTTAGACAGTGAGAGAGAGAGGGAGAGAGAGAAAGGTCTTCTTTTTCTGTTGGTTCATCCTCCAAATGGCCCGAAGCCAGGAGCCAGCTGCTTCTCCTGGTCTCCCATGGGGTGCAGGGCCCAAGCACTTGGGCCATCCTCCACTGCCCTCCCGGGCCACAGCAGAGCGCTGGCCTGGAAGAGGAGCAACCGGGACAGAATCCGGCGCCCCTACCGGGACTAGAACCCGGTGTGCTGGCGCCGCAGGCAAAGGATTAGCCAAGTGAGCTGCGGCGCCGGCCCCATCCGGAAGTATCTGAAAATCTTCAGTAGACCGCTCACAATACACACACAAGCACGTTCCCCTGACCCCGTCTTCCAGTTCATGAGAACAACACCTTGTCTCGTTGCTGCCGCTTTTGAGGTTTCAGCTTTATGTTGCTCCCAGCTTGCATTTGGGTCACTTTGATAAAAACAACAAGTATCAAGGAGAGTATTTTGAGCCTTGAATAAAAATGACCAAATAAAACAATTAGAAATTCATGAAACTGAAGGACACATCTGGCTTATGAAGACTCCATAACAGAAGTAACAGTTGCTGGGGCTGGTGCTATGGCGCAGCGGGTTAACGCCCTGGCCTGAAGCGCTGCATCCCATATGGGTGCTGGTTCTAGTCCCGGCTGCTCCTCTTCCAATCCAGCTCTCTGCTGTGGCCTGGGAGAGCAGCAGAAGATGGCCCAAGTCCTTGGGCCCCCGCACCCGCATGCGAGACCTGGAAGAAGCTCCTGGCTCCTGGGTTTGGATTGGCGCAGCTCCGGCCATTGCAGCCATCTGGGGAGTGAACCAGCAGATGGAAGACCTCTCTCTGTGTCTCTACTTCTCTCTCTAACTCTATCTTTCAAATAAATAAAATAAATCTTTTAAAAAAAGAAATAACAGTTGCTAATGTTTTATACTGTCGAAAATGATAAAACTATTACTTGTAGTATGCCTATATAGCATGGTCTTTTTTCCCCATTGTTTATTTATTTATTTGAGATGCAGAGAAATGGAGAGAGTGAGCTCCCCTCCTCTGGTTTACTCCCTGAGAGGCCTGCGATGGCCGAGACTGGGCCAGGCTGAAACTAGAAGCCAGGAATGCAATCCAGGTCTTCCATGTGGGTGGCAGGAGTCCAGTCACTTAGGGCATCACCACAGCCTCCCAGGGTTTGCACTGGCGGGTAGCTGGAGCTGGGCATTGATCCCAGGACTCCAGTGTGGGGCGTGGTATCTTAAACAGCGTCATAACCACTAAGCTAATCACTTGTCCCTGGCATGGTGTTTCTTACGTAGTGCAACGTCTGGTCATTGGTTAGTTCTTTCATTCAGTTGTTGAGCATCCACAGGGCAGTGGGACTTTGGTTGGAATTTATGTTGCAAGAGGAAAGGGGAGGCTCTCTGAGGGACAGTTCCCAGGCCCTGACATGAGCAATACCCACCATAGTGGGGCTGAAGAACGTCACTGAGGAAAAGACCCGGCTGTGGCTTAGTCTTCCATCATGCAGTCCTTCCTCTCTCTGAAAAGAGAGGGAGTGATCTCAGGGACAGGACCGAGAGCCCCTGCTCCGGGAGCCCAGTTCTGGTGCCAAGTAGCTGCTTTCCAGTTTAGTTGGTAAAAATCCAAGAAATATTTTGTAATCTATTTGTAACAAGTGGAGATATGAGTATCACACTCTTTAGTGCCCTGAGCACCCACTTGGCACAGGTCAGAGGGTCTAGGGCTCTGGAGAAGAAAGGGCCCAGGCCCTGCCCAGGAAGCTGTGTCACTTCCAGCCTGGAGCAGGGGCCAGCCCCTGAGTGAGCGCGTTTGAATTCCTTGGGGTCAGCGTCTTCCCCCCTGGACGATGTTAGCTGATGGGCCCCGCCCACTACAGTCGTCAGGACCCCCAGCTCTCTATGTCTGCTTAGACCACCCTTCCCGTCACAGCCTTCTTTACCAGGAGAGGTTAATGCCACTCAGGTAAATGCCTTCCTCCTGACTGGGGGCCAGACCCTTGGAATGTTTTTATTTTTAATGCATCTGCCTTTTGCCTGGATGCTGACTGTTCTCCATCAGGTCTGTTCTCTGCTCCTCGCCCGACCTAGTTGTGCTGCCCACACTGCTGTGGCTTGCCCGGAGTGCGGTATATCAGATGGCCCCGTGCTGGAAAGTATTTTTAAAACCTGCGTTTTGCTTACTAAGATAGCAGTAAAAACACTGCTGGAGAAAATTAAAAACAACAACAACATAACAGTATTCCCCATGAGCTACTATCAGAGATTCCAGCCATTTATATTTTATCCCTGTATTGGTTTGTCCTCCATAAAACTCCCTTACAAAAACACAAAGGAGATCTTCAGACAATAAGTGCAGTCAGGGCAATCTGTTTGGGTTCTTAGCACATTTTTTTCCTTTTCGGGTACACACTTCCGGTTCCTTCCCACCAACTCCCTTTACTAACGTGGTCTTTAATGTCTTCATTTTTATTCAGCTCATATCCATGGCCAAAGGCTGTGCTCTCCATCTGCAGTGGGTGCTTGCTTTGTTTTGAGTAAACCTTCGAAATAAAAACCTTGATTTAGAGTGTGCATAAGGAATTCATGGGAACAGTCATCTTGTCCTTGCAGTTACCACCTCATCTGTAATGCAAACATAATCCTGGTACCCATTTGTATTGGATTTTATCCTTGGGACCAGTCTCATATGACTAGATCCACTGTCCTTTAGATTCCTCCTCTAGATAATGGAGGCAGCATTATTTTGTGTTAGTAGATACTGTTTTTTTTTTTCCCATCTGTAATTTTTATTTTCTTTCTTTCTTTTTTTTAACATTTATTTAATGAATATAGATTTCCAAAGTATGATTTATGGATTACAATGGCTTCCCCCCCATACCGTCCCTCCCACCCACAACCCTCCCCTTTCCCACTCCCTCTCCCCTTCCATTCACATCAAGATTCATTTTCGATTATCTTAATATACAGAAGATCAGCTTAGTATACAAGTAGATACTGTTTTATAACAATATTTTATGTAGCTATCTCACAGAGAAGTGTGAGCTTCTTGAACAATGCCAGACACATAGCAGGTGTTCAGTAAATGCTATCGCTGTCATCAAATGCGCCCCCTCTGCTTTTAGAAGCTCTCCTATGAACGGATTCAGTGGCCTATCCTGAGACTCAACAGAATAGCACCACTCCAGTGGCCTGCCCTGAGGAGGCACCGTGAGTCACCACTGGAGGAAAGGCTGCTGGAACTCAGTATCACAGAGCCTTACTTCTCTTCCGCACTCCGGGAATCGGAATCCACACAGAGCAGTGCTGGAGCTGGACCAGACCGTGGAGAGCTGTCCTTTTGTGGAAGTGCTGAAGAGTGAGGATGAGGCGTTGAGCAGCCAAGGCTGCATGAGAGTGTGTGCGTGTTAAAAATCTGTACTGTATTTTATCGTGGCTTCAAAATCCTTACTCTCTGGGTGGGCATTGTGGCACAGTGAATTAAGCCACTGCTTACAATGCCAGCATCCCATATGAGTGTCAGTTCAAGACCCAGCTCCCTGCTAATGTGCCTGGGAAGCAGCAGAAGATGGCCCACGTGCTTGGGGCCCTGCACTCATATGGGAGACCTGGATGGAGTTCCAGGCTCCTGGCTTCTGCCTGGCCCAGCCCCTGCTGTTGCAGCCATTTGGGAAGTGAATCAGCAGATGGAAGACCTCTCTCTGTCTCTCCCTCTGTCTGTAACTTTGCCTCTCAAATAAATAAAATAAAACTTAAAAAAAGTCCTTCCTCTCACATGTAAGGAAATTTCCATCATGAAAACCATTTTCTTTTTTTTTTTTTAATTTGGCAGGTAGTTACAGTGAGAGAGAGACAGAGACAGAGAGAAAGGTCTTTCTTCCATTGGTTCACTCCCCAAATGGGCGCCACGGCCGGTGCTGCACCCATCCAAAGCCAGGAGCCAGGCACTTCTTCCTGGTCTCCCACGCAGGTGCAGGGGCCCAAGTGCCTGGGCCATCCTCCACTGCCCTCCCGGGCCACAGCTGAGAGCTAGACTAGAAGAGGAGCAACTGGGACTAGAACTTGACACCCATATGGGATGCCAGTGCCTCCGGCGAAGGATTAACCAAGTGAGCCATGGCGCCGGCCCCATGAAAACCATCTGTGTCCAGGCCTATTAGTAAAGAAGTGAATCAAGTATTAATTTGTGTCTAAATTGATATATTCCCCTCCGTCCACTGGTTTGTACATTTATGGTTGGTTTAACAGATACCAGCTGCCAATCTAAGACATTTTTAAGCTTCAGAAAAAAAAATACTACAGTACAAAACTAACTACTGGGATTTTGAAATTCATTTTCAGGTGCCAAGAGTCTACTCTGAAGACAATTGTTAAATCTGTAACCTGACAACAAATGAGTTTACTGAGGATAAAAAGCAACAGCATCCTACTACTGATTTACCAAATGCTAACTAATTCAAACTGATTAACCAAAATATAGGTACATTTTTACTTACTCAAATAAAGGATTATAGGATACATCCTTCTCTTTAAAATTAAATTGACTTTTCCCATGGTTGCATGTTCAGTGTAGACAAAACAGCCCAGTATCAAACCTTCTGTATATAACCATTGATAATATCAGTACACATCCTTGTCACTTTCTTTTCTGTATTATGTGTAGTCATATTATTGTACCCATACTGTTGGCATCATATTGCATGAAGGAACCTCAAGAAGTTCATGGAGAAATTGAATTAAAAGATAAGTTCATCTTGGTACCAAAAAATTTTGAAATCCAAGCAGAGCATTTTCACATTTTTCAGGAACTTTTTGAAGACTCCTTGTATGCATGAATTTCAAATTTTTTGGACAAAAGTAAACATCTTTCAATTCTACTTTCTGTGAACTTTAGGTTTCTTCAGACATGCTGGTCTAAAACCTCTTCACTTTCTTTTTTAAAAAAGATTTATTTATATTTATTTGAAAGACAGAATTACAGAGAGAGGTAGAGAAAGAGAGAGAGAGGTCTTGCATCCACTGGTTGACTCCCCCAGTGGCCACAACATCTGGAGCTGAACAGATCCGAAGTCAGGAGCCAGGAGCTTCTTCTCTGTCTCCACAAAGGTATAGGGGTCCAAGGACTCGGGCCATCTTCCACTGTTTTCCCAGGCCATAGCAGAGGCTGGATCAGAAGAGGAGCAGCTGGGACTAGAACCTGTGCCCATATGGGATGCCAATGCTTCAGGCTGGGGCTTTAACCTGCTGCGCCACAGTGCTGGCCCCTCACTTTATTTTTTTAATAATAAGTCATATTATAAAAATATACTTGACAGTCACCTAAGTTTTAAACTTGAAAAGGACAGGTGTGAGCTATTTTTAAGTTTGTACATAGTATTTTAGTCTTCATGCTTCATCCAGCCTGCTTGTAAAATCCAAACATCCACGTCTTTTCAAATCACATATATAGATATCAATAGGTACATACATTAGACATGTTTATTGTTTACTTGCCTTATAATGGAGTGAAATGAGACAGAATTCACTTGTGTCCACATCCTGGAAATTGAATCACTCTTTTTTACGACCCTTTTGATTGATATTTTCATTGTTTTAAGGATAAGTTGAAACATCAAGCAGGTTAGGTATCAACCAAAGAAATGCCAGCACTGTTATCATCAATGACATCAAAAGCCTGCTTAGAATGCCCCTTGCTAAAGAGGCCAGCGACACCAAAATGGCAAGGAAAAGGTTTCAGATTCTTACTGCCAAACTTCAGAAGTCATCCGACCCCATTTGGCTCAATGGAGAAGCATTTCTAAGTCCAGAAACAGCCAGGTGGGGTCAGCATCCCAGGCCCCGAGGAATGAAATACTTGTCATACAATCTTCTTACCAAGCGGTGAGCCTCTGAGTTTCTACATTTAAAATACTTGTGCATCCTGTGGCTTTGCTGCCTCAAGCATGTCTTCTGTACCAACAGCATCCTGTGGGAACTTGCAGCCACAAGACCTTCTGTGTCAGAATCTGCATTTTAAGAAGTCCCCTGAAAGACTCCTATGCACGGTTGAGTTGGAAAAGCAACGCACTGGGGAGAGAGAATACGTACTGAAGGAAGACTCTTCAGGCTAATGGAGACTTTCTTTGGTACGGTAGGGAATTGTTTGCTTATTGATGGAGTTTAGGATGCTTCAACTTGCTGCCCCATGTGGGAGGTGTCAGCGTGCCCAGTCTGAATCCTGCCTTTCCTGTTGATGTAGCTTATCTGCCTGTGTGAAGGGGAATATAATACCTCCAGCAGTTGTGAGAATTAAATGACCTAGTGTTTATAGAACTCCTAGAACATGGTTTAACACATACTAAATGCTCAAAAAAATTCACTATTATCAAGGTCTGAAGTTTTTTTTTTAATTTATTGTCTTTATTTGAAAAGCGGAGTGACAGAGAAAGAAGGAAAGACAGCTAGAGAGAGATCTTGCATCTGCTGGTTCACTCCCCCAGATAGGCACAATAGCCAGCGCTGGGCCAAGCTGAAGCCAGGAGACAGGGACTGCATCTGGGTCTCCTATGTGGGTGGCAGGAACCCAAGAGCTTGGACCATCATCCCTTGCCTCCAGGGAGCATCAGTGGGCGGCTGAATCAGAAGTGCAGAGTAGCCTGGACGTGGACCAGGCACCCCGATGTGTGATGCAGATGTCCCAAGCAGCAGCTTACCCCGATGCACCACAGCACCAGCCCCAGGGGTGAGTTTTATAAGCCATTATCTTAAAAATCACAAGTCCTTCTCCTAGGCTGCTGCTGGCAGAACAGTCCAGAATTAGGGCTGCTCAGCTCAGACCTGCCATGCAGCTGCCGTGGAGTTCCCTGGTGCTCAGGGGCAGGGAGCGTGGGTGTGCACTGCTGACTCCTGTGTCCCTGTGTTTCATCAAGAGTTGCAGCAGAGGCAGGTGTTGGGCCTGGCAGCTAAGAAGCTGCTCGGAACGCCCACATCCCATGTGGGAGCGCCGGCGTTCAAGTCCCAGCTCTACTCCTGATCCCAGCTTCCCGCTAAGGCACACCCTGGGAGTCAGCAGGGATGGCTCCAGTACTTGGGTCACTGGCACCCCATGGGAGACCCAGATTGAGTTCCTTGCTCCCGGCATGAACCTGGCTGGGCCACACCCAGCCCCAACTATCGCAGGTATCTGGGGAGTAAATCAGCAGATGGGAGACCTCCCTCTGTCTCTGTGCCTTTCAGATAAGTAAAATTAAATGTTAAAAAAGTTACAAAACTAAAAAGACTTTTAGTCAATTTGTTGAAATATTATCATCACTACTTTGTAAGAAAGCAGGCCTCTTTGAACTTAATAAAAATTTGTTAATAGGTCTTATTACATAAATGGATATCATTGATGGAATAAATTCCGACATCTCTGCACCTCCTTTTCCCCTGCAAAGAACTGTAATCAGAGCTAAGATAATCAACTGAATGAAATGCCAGAGGCAAGACCCTGACTCAGGCCTCACCAAACATCCACAAGAGAGAAATGTTTCCCGCTAAGGAATACTGTCTTTTCAGCGGGAGGTTTGGTCTTCAACCCCAACAAGGAGTCCTGTTGCCTCAGTCGCTGCTTCCAAAGTTTCAGTGCCTTAAGTGAGTTACCTAAAAATCTTGGTAAAATGCAGATTCTCAGTCTGTGCGTCTGGGTAGGGCTTGACATTCTGCATTGCTAGCAAGCTCCTGGTAGAGGCAATGCTATTAGTCCATGGGTCACACCTTGAATGGGGCCTACCTAGGCTGTAACTAGGTTAGCTAGGCCGTGGGCTGCTTCTGCACCTGCCTTCCTGGGCCCTCTGTGTGTGTGGTTCTTCACTCTGGCTGAACACCATAGTCACCTGCAGTCTGGGTCCCCACTGCCAGAGGTTATGGTTCAGCTGATTTGGAAGAGATTCCGAAAGTAAGAGGCTGAAAGAGATGGGAAAAGCCGGAGCTCTCTGTGTGAACCCCTCTGCACTTGACAGTGAAATTCCTCTGGGCACTGTGACCTAGTAAAATAACTGCACCCTTGACCTTGATCAGACGTGCAGCAGGGGGTCGTCAAGAGTGGAACCCTGGAGCTCTCCATGGCCATCGGCGACAACTGCGTACCCTCAAGGCGGGTGTTGAATCATCCTTGTAGAGCAGTTCCAGGGTTGTTTTCAGCGTAGAACGCAGAATCAGCCTCTTGGGCCAAGAACTAGATTTTAAAAATTAAGACTTTTTGGTTTGCCCTGACTCTAGCAATGTGACAAACAGGTTAGAATTTACTTGGGGAGAAACTATAAATTTTACCGGACAAAGTAATCAGACCCTTTCTGCTCACCACTTGGACGGCTGACTCACCCGAGACAGGAGTTGGCAGGAGGAGAGGTTATTTCAAGAAGCCGGAAGTCTTGGGGAAAGATTGATCTCTGTATGGCAATGTGCTCCTTCCCTCCCAACAAGCCAGCAGAAAGTGTTTTCAGAGGGCAGGGGTAGCTACAGGTGGAGGCTGGAAACGCAGCGAGTCCAGTCAGTGACGGTCACGCAGATCCTCCGGCTCTGGTCCCAGGCTGGTCCATCTGGGAGAGCCAGGGCATCAGCGGCTGGAGGCTTCCCCCAGTGAAGCCCAGCTGGCCCTGGCGGCTGCATGCTTTCTCTCTGGCTGGGTGTGAGGTCTGCCATTTCAAGTCCTCTCCTGAAATTTCCCTGCAGACATTATAATCTGCTCATCACAGGTAATTCACGACTCCAGCAGCCCGGCCTGGCCCTGACCGGCCAGTATGGACAGGGACGGGAAGATGCCTTCATTGCTGTTACACAGACATGATCCTTTTCTGTGGGGATCTTATGTTCTGGTCAGGGTGACAAGCCCAGTGCAGTGTGTAGTAAAGGTTAACTCAGCAGGCGTCTGGGGTGCTGGAACCCCGACGTTCCAGAGAAATCCTGGCTTCCTGGGCCCGGCCTTGACTGGCTCCTGGAAGAGGAGCACTGGCCCTTGGAACATGCAGCCTGATGAGCGTCTTTCTGTCGGCCTGGGCTCCTGTGCCATCTGCGTCAGTTTGACCCCTGGAAGCTGGCGGCTGAGAATCAAGGGAAGTCATGCCTACCTGAGTGATTTGCAGTAATGACCCTGCACAGCCAGGCTCAGGTAAGCGTCCCTGATTGACAGCACTCCGCTGCGGGCGTCGTGCAGTGTTGCTCTGAGAATTTAATGCGTCCCCTGGAAAGGACACCTTGAACCTGTGCCTGATTCCTCCGGGGAGGTCGGTATCCCCTTCTCCGTAACAAGCAGTAATCATGCGAAGCATAACAGCTTTTCTGAGTTCTCTGGGTCCTTGCAAACCATCAAGCCTGAGAGAGTGATCTTCAAGACTCCCAAAAAACAGGTGACAGGCAGGACTACTCTTGGGCCTCCCACGAGATGAGCCAGGAAACAGGAGGGAGAAAAAGAGTCCTGTTATCAAGATGATTGTCTTTGTGGGTGCCTGAGGCTTGGTGCAGCTGGGATGTTTTGAGGAGCCATAAAGTATCTCCTAGAACTGTTTTCTTAAAGGGGAAGCAGAAGCATTTATCCACACATCACCCTTTATTAAGGATTTTTTTTTTCAGAAGGACAATGACTCTCTTAAACTTTGAATGACTCCCTTAAATCTTTGAGACCCCAACTTTGCTTGGTTAGGTGCGGCTTGGGAATCATGCATCCATGAAAAACATTCAAACTTGAAAACAAAATAGGAAGGTTCGCCTAAACTTTTGATATCATAAAAGAAAATGTTTTTTGAAGGCACCTACTTGAAAAAAAAAAAAAACATGTGAAGGGTGTTTTGAAAAGAGTAGTGATTTATATCTAGTAACTTGAAAATTCTCCAAGAGATTGAGGAAAGATAGTAAATAATGTTTAGGTTATTGCTGCCAAAGAAAGTGAGATTCAGTACTTAAATGTGCAGAAAGTTCATTCATAAAATGAACTTTTACACTTTAAAAGTTCACTTCTGAGTTACTCTTGTACAAAAAGGTATTTGGATGTAGACATTCTACTGATTTCGTTTTAACATAATGTATGACAGGATAGCTCTCTGTGTGTCTAAGAGCCCTCCACTTGGGGAGACCCAGGATCTGGGGACTGTCTAGAGCCATTAACACCAACCCCAATCACTTCCAATCCAGGCAAGCTTAACTGAAGTGCAGTTCATGAATCCAGAGTTGGTCCAGTGAAGTTCAAGAACGCAGGATGCTTGGAGTGGGTCATTTCTTGGTGTCTAAGGCTCAAAAGTGAGTCAAATGCATTTCCAGGTTTCGCAATTAGCTAAAAAAAAAAAAGTAACACTTCAGTTCCATCTCAGAATTAAAATGACCCTCATGAAATCACATCCTCACACGGGAGAAGATCGAAATGAAATCATCAATCAAGCCTTGGGAACAGAGGAGATTGGATCCACTTGATATCTGTGCAAGTTCTAAATGAGCACTGTGTGTGCTTGGCAATGAAACTGCTGTCAGAGCTGCTGACCGGCAACGGGGGCCTCTCTGCTCTGCCCGGAGGGAACCAGTGACTTAGGGAGGCTGCTGAGAGCGAACTGTTGGCACTGCCCTCTCACAGCACCAGTGTGGTCAGCTGTGCTACGTGAGTGCGTCTAGGCAGTGTCCTTCCTGTGGCTTTAAAACAATGGCCATCAAAACGGGTGAGAGAGCTAATATTTGGCAGGTGTGATATCACTAATAAATATGGAGACTCATGTCTACAACAAAAAGCCTTGTATTAGATATTTCCCAAGATGATGTTTCTTTATCATTTGTTCACCTATGGCCTGTAGCAGGTTATTCCGGTTTTTAAAGATAATGAAAAGAATACTGATGATTTAATGGAGTTTGATTACAATGGCTTGAAGTGGCTTTCCATGCTCCTGGGATATCAAGAGGACTGGCGTTGTGGTGCAGTGGGCTCCACCTCTAATCCAGCTCACTGCTAATGTGCCTAGGAAGGTAGCAGAAGATGGCCCAAGTCCCCGGGCCCCTGACACGCACGTAGGAAACCCAGATGGAGTTCCTGGCCCTTGGTTTCGGCCTGGCCCAGCCCTGGTCATTGCATCCATTTGGGGAGTGAACCAGTGGATGGAAGGTTCTCCCTCTCTCTCTGTCTTTCAAATAAATAAAATGAACTTTTTTAAAGAAAAAAAGGTGCTCAGAAGTAATAAAAAAAAAAGCTAAGTTGTTTATGAATTCTTCTGTTCCCCCAGTAGGTTCTCTGGAAGAAAGATAGTGCAGCTGGTACCACTGCAACTCCTAAGAACTGGCAAGTATCAGAACAGACTCAGAATGAGAACATCCCTTCACTATGAAGACTTCTCTTTGAAAAAATCAAATCATGGAACAAGAGACTGTTAGATTACTGTGTGCATCAATGATAACCTCTCCAACAAGAACAGTAATATTGAAGAAGCAAGTGTGTGTAGTATAAGACTCTGATGCCTTTTTGTGTAATTTGCTAAGAAGTACCTAGGGAACAGACTATAGAAGTTCCAGAATGGAATAGTAGGACTGGCTCAATAGCTTAAATACTTAGTTCCTTTTTAAAAATTGTCTACATAAATATTTTAACCTTTAAATTTTGTTATGCATATTCTAAACATAAAATTAGAGAAGAAGTTCCAGTGAACTCCAGGTATCCATCCTTTGGCTACAAGACCATCAGCTCATGGTCTGTTGTTTCATCTAACAATCTTACTTCTGCTTCTCTCTTCCCCCCTGGATTTTTATGAAGCAAATTCCAGATAACACATGATTTCCCCAATGGAAAATTCAGCATTATCCCTGAATGACAAGGACACTTAGAAAAAACATATACATACAGCGCCATTATCACCCTCTTCAAGAGTAATAATATTAAGAAAGGTAAAATTAAAAAGATGGACAGCAAAATTTGCTGAGGAGGCAGAGTAACTGGAACTCACACGTTGCTGTTGGAGGTCAAATAACGTCATCACTTCACAGCTCCTTATCACGTTAAATACACAGCTGCTCAGTCATCTGGCAGTTTCCCTCCTCAGAAACACAAAGACACAAAAGCACGTAGCCACAGAATACTTGTGTAGCCATAGTTACGCCCCCTTTTTCATAAGGGTCCCAAACAGGAATCTCCCCATTATCCATGACCAGGAAAATGGGTTTAGAAACGTGAGATGGGAGCTTATTGACTGGCAAGTAACATGAGAGCCCTTTCTGGGGTTCTATCCCTACGTCTGGTTTGGGTGGCAGTTACTTAGGGAGATAGAATTGTTAAAATGTGTCATATTGAAAACAAGATTTGTACATTTTATCTAATGCAAATTGTACATTCATTAAAACCATGATATTTCCTTAACACAACCAAATTTCCAGGTGTGAATCCTCTATAATTTTTTACATACATACTTGATTTGTCTGGATTGGCATCTAAACATTCCATACACTGCTCTTAACTGATATGCCTTTCAGATTTTTCCATTTTTTTCTGTAAGAAAAATGAGAAAGTTGATTTTTAGGAGGTGTGAGCTTCATTTACTCTGTTTTTAGCAGTTTATCATGAGAGACCTTAAATATAAAATGCACAGTGTTCAGTGTATAGCTCTATAACTTTTTATATATAGGCATGTAATTTTAATTAGAAAGATAATTTTTTTTTGACAGGCGGAGTAGACAGTGAGAGAGAGAGACAGAGAGAAAGGTCTTCCTTTGCCATTGGTTCACCCCGCAATGGCCGCTGTGGCCGGCATGCTGCGGCTGGCACACCGCGCTGATCTGATGGCAGGAGCCAGGTGCTTTTCCTGGTCTCCCATGGGGTGCAGGGCCCAAGCACTTGGGCCATCCTCCACTGCACTCCCTGGCCACAGCAGAGAGCTGGCCTGGAAGAGGGGCAACCGGGACAGAATCCGGCACCCCAACCGGGACTAGAACCCGGTGTGCCGGCGCCCCAAGGCAGAGGATTAGCCTAGTGAGCCGCAGCGCCGACCAGAGAGATAATTTAACCACAATGTAAGGCATGAAAATAAGAGCAAGTTAACTACAACAGACTTCTGTGTATTTCTTTTTCACAGCTGGGTCTTTAGTGAGACCCCACGTAGAGTCTAGTATCTAGTGTAGGTGTCATTACTCCAGGGGCAGAAGCACACTGCTGAGGAAACGCTGGCTAGGATCATACTACCGTCGTCTTGAGCTCTGAAGCCCAAGCAGAGGACCAGACGCTGTTGCCTCGCGTCCACATCTGTGTGACTGTTGGGAAGAGGATACGCGTGTGTTGTGTGCATCTACCTGTCTGCATGTTCTGGAGCGGGTGGAGGCCTCTGTGTTGGCTTGAGGAAACGAGATATTGATCCTCCCACCCACAGGCCCACATTCACTTTCCAGTATGGTTTTGTCGTTGCCAGAAGGATTGCACATGCCTTTCTTTCCTTTGCCATTTTTAAATTCTACACTGAGTGCATTTTTGTGACAATGAGGTTGTGCCGCAGAAGATGTTTTAACCTGCACTTCTTGCAAGTGACTTACTCCATACGTGAGCTTTTTTTGAAAAGCATCTCCGTGTCACACTTGGAGGCCCTGCCTGGTTTTTCTGTCTCATTAACTCTCGTGTAAATGGCAGCTTTTGCTGAGGAAGTTGAAATGATGTAGAGCAACAAGAACCGTGGAGCCTGGGTACTATTTTTCTGAGCAATGCTGTTTTCTGGTCCTGAAAAGGTCACGGTGTTTCTGGGAGCGTGCTGTTGGGACTGCTGTTCCCTCTCCTGAGATGTGTGAGATGCAGCTGATCTGCCAGCAACAATGGCTCTGCCGCGAGGCACCTAGAGGTAAGTCCAGGAAAAGCAAACAAGGCAGTTGAAAGTGACTTCCGAATAAGAAGTGGCCGTCCCACTTTCTAAACGGTTTTGAAAATAATGCCAACAGGGTGGAAACACAATCCGAGGCAAAGGCAAGTCCTTAAAAATTTATGAGAACCTTTGCAAACACTAGCGTTGGAGCCACTGGACATCTACAGGCAAAAAAATTAACCTTGACCTAAATCTCATATCTGATGCCAAAAGCTCACTTAAAATTAATCACAGGGACAGGCATTGTGGCGTAGCAGGTGAAGCTGCCTCCTCTGATGCTGCCATCCCCTGTGGGCGCTGGTTCGAGTCCTAGCTGCTTCACTTTGGATCCAGCTCCCTGCTTAGGCCTCTGCATTCATGTGGAGGACTCAGAGGAAGCTCTTGGCTTCTGGCTTCTGCCCGGCGCAGCCCTGGCTGTTGTGGCCATTTGGAGAGTGAACGAGGAGTTAGAATCAGTCTCTCTCTCTCTCTCTGTAACTCTGCCCTTCAAACAAATAAATCTTAAAAAATTAATCACAGACTTACTATAAATGATAAAACTATGCAACTTTTAGGAAGAAACACAAGGGAAGCTCTTGAGAACCAGGGGTAGATGAAGAGTACTCAGACATGACAAAAGCAGAGTCCATCGAAGGAATAAATGGATCAGTTGAACTTTATCCAAATTAAGAATTCTGCTCTGCCAAAGACTTTGTAAAGAGGATGAAAAGACAAGCTACAGACTGGGAGGAAGCGTGTGTGACTCATTTACTCAACATTAGGCCTTGTATCTCGAATAGAACCCTCACAAGTCAATGCACAGATGATCCAGCTAGAAAATGGGTGAAAGGTATGAACAGGCTTCCAATTTCTCAGGCTCCTGGTGTGACAGGAGCTTAGCACATGGTAGGCACTGAAGAATGCAAATAAACAAATAAGGGAGCTGATCTGATTTCCAAAGTTTTCACATATAACAGACAGCCTTCCATTGTGTGTCCACTACAGAGATGCTGGTGGACCCTGAGGCCGTGGGAGAGTAATGCACACTCTTTCACTGCACAGACAGACCTTGCTCACAGCCTGTGTGCTGTCTCCCACCCTGCTCTAGTCAGTTTGGGTGGCGTGAGAACCTGGAATGGATAGTCAAAAAGCACTGTGTACGAAATAAAAATAAATGTAGAAGTATTGTGGGGAACAGGGATGGTTCAGCCAGGAGAGAGAATTCTTAAAGGCACTGTGGCTTGGGGGTTGGGACCTTCAGCCCAGAGCTGGAGAGGCTGGCTGTGAGCCGTGGCACGTAGCCACTGGCAGTCCTTGAGATGATAGTTGGCTTCTGGAACCCTCAGTTTCTGTTATTTACGAATGTGTCCTGTTGGCCTGCATGACACTCCTTCCTTTGGACAGCCAACCCTTCCCGTTCAGAGAGCAGCATCGGGATCTGCGCAGGGGCTGTGATAAAGGCCCTCTCTCCCTGTCACGCTGACATGTGAGGACCGTATGCTGTCTTAGAAGGACACCGAGTGGCAGTGGGGGAGAGGGGAAGCGGGGAAGGGAAGGGGATTCTTATACATCCTTAAACATGAGCGAGGCTCATTGTTTGGAGTTTGGAGTTGTGTTCATCAAAATCTTGAATTTTTCTTTTGTTTGAGTCTGAAAGTTGCGACAGTGACTGACACAAAGTACCTTCATATGTTGCTGATGACAAGCCAGTGGAGGAAGAGGCAGAGTCTTCAGACAGAAGGTTTCGCACTCACTCCCAGAGTAGCCCAGTCAGACTGACCTGTGACCTTCCTGGGGCGGCGGTAGTGGGCTGCACTGCCATTTGGAGCATGTTGTGTGCAAAACAAGGAACCTGCCAGCTCACAGCACAGGGCCAGCGTGCGAGCCAGGTGCCCCGTGGAAGAACAAGCCACCACACTTCCGTGCCCAGCTCCCCTCCTTGAGGCTGTCTCCCTGTCTTCCAGCATAACTACCCACCCCCCATAAGCATTGTTTGGGCTGTGCCTTGGCCTCTTGTTAATTTCCATTGCAGGGAGTCAGCCCCTCTGGGCTGCCTAACTCAGGAGGTGAAGTACTTGGAAACCTGCTCAGTTAAGACAATAATTGCCTGAACTTTACTTTCCAATTTTCTCTGAGTAGTAAATCTATTGTTTTATCTATAGCTGCTTTTATTTTCTTGATGATCAGAGTTACACAGAGAGAGAAGGAGAGGCAGAGAGAGAGAGAGGTCTTCCATCCGATGGTTCACTCCCCAGCTGGCTGCAACGGCTGGAGCTGAGCCGATCCTAAGCCAGGAGCCAGGAGCTTCCTCTGGGTCTCCCACACCGGTGCAGGGGCCCAAGGACTTGGGCCATCTTCTACTGCTTTCCCAGGCCATAGCAGAGAACTGGATCAGAAGTGGAGCAGCCAGGATTCAAACCTGCGTCCACGTGGGATGGCGGCACTGTGGGTGCCACAGCGCCCGCCCCTGCTGCTGCTTCCCTTTACGCTGTTTAAAGACTCAAAGCAGTCAGCTTGCAAGTATCTTACATCTGAGATCACACCAACAGACGAAAACACAGAGAAAGGACCTCCGATTAATTTTGGAGAAAAAGCAATTCGATTACTATACTGATCATCAAAGAGAATAAATGTCCCAGTACTATTGAATTTTATTCTTCTCAGATTGTAAATTTCTTAAAATCATATAAACTAGTAAGTATTTAACTTAGAGCAATATGACTAACATACACAACTCGCAGCATCTCATATCTGTAGCAGAGCCAAAACTATTTAAGACACTAGATATAAAATGAGTAGTGACCATTCCTTTTATGATAGTAACTAAAATGTCCCTTGTATTGTATTCAAGAATTCATTCCAGATCTCATGGATATTTTAACTTTAAAAAACATTGAAATCTACTACTTATTTCCTCTTCATGTTTTTCAATGACTTTGGCCAAACACAATGACAATTTTGATGTGAACATGCCTACATAAAGAACGTACATATTTTTCATAAATATCAGGTGCCTTTAAATATATATAATATTGTTTTTGATTCACTTTAAATATATTGAAAATCAATCTAGCAATAAAAAATGGTTACACAAGTAAGTCTGCAGAAAGAATAAAAATTTTTTTATCTGTATTTTTACAACTATTTAATTTCAGCTTTTATTTTATAAAAGCAATCTAGCAATGAAAAATGGTTATACAAGTAAGTCTGTAGAAAGAATAAAAATTTCTTTATCTGTCTTTGTATTTTTACAACTATTTAATTTTAGCTTTCATTTTATAAAACCTCATAAGCCTAGAAGTATCTGTTTTCCTGCCAGCTTTGTCCAGATGTGATTCATAAATATGTCAAGAAAACCTAATAAATCTTTTATTGGTATATATTAATGTTTTAATTGCAATTTAAAGGACAAAGAAAAAGTTCTGCCCTCCAACGGTGGGAGTTTTGCCAACATCATGTTTCAGATTAGCAATAACACTGCTATTTTTCTGTAACAGCCTCTCGCTCCGAACATCTATCATGTGAAAATCTAGCCTTGCAGGCACCGATGCGCCTGCACAAAGCTATTGCCTGGGCTTTTTAAGAAGTTCTCTTATGACTTTTCTCCAGAAGAATTTATCTTTCAAGTGTCTCTCTGAGATGAACCCGGGCTGCTGTCAGACTGGGTGGCCATCGCCCCAGGCCTGCACCAACAGTGTCCCCCCAACCATGCCTCCTGACCTCAGGACACTGAAGACATGAAACCTAGCTCCTTTTGCAAAAACAAAAAGGAAGAGTGGCACCTGGGCTGCCATCTGCCATCCCTCCATGTCACAGTCACTACGGGCACCGGATGAGCCTGAAAAGAAACTCCAGGGGATGGCTCTTAATGCTGTTGCTTGTTACACCTGTCAACTGTGGAACATTAATTTTAGCAAGTCACTGGAGAAAATGAGAAAGCATCCGTCTCCCGTGCAGGTGTTTCTTAGAGTTGCTTCCGTGCTATTGTCAGGGCACGGCTGATTAGCCCATTGCAGGAAGTCTGAAGAAGCGTCCACACATCTGTCTGCACTCCTCTGGCCCCAGTACGCACTGTGCTTCCTTTGTCTCATTGCGCTGGGAGGTCTCAGTGCAGCAGCGTTCATGTGAGAGTCCTTCGGGGTCCAGGGTTTTCCTGCTGGCAGAGAGCTTGGCACCTACACTGTTTGAAGAGATGTGTGAGAAAAGGAACAAGCCAGGGTCTCCAGTTTAGGGTCCTAAGAGAAGGCAAACTCAGTTATAAATCAGCAACGTTAGCCAGAGGCCATCGGCAGGTGCAGTGAGATCTGAAATGTGCCCTGTTGCCAAATCACAGCCACCCATCCTCAGAACCAAATAGGCCCCAGTCACAGGGTCAGTTTCCCATACTTGCCGTAAATGACCGTCCCCTTATGGTCCTCTCCCCCCCAAAGCCTGTTTAGAGAGTGGAGGCTAATCTGGTCCTTGGTGTAGTTTGCTCTCAGTTTCTATAACCAGTGGGCTTTTGCTCTTCCCTGTGAGGCATCCTTCAGCAGAAATACTTCTGAGTTGGAGATTAGGGTGCTGTTTCTCACTGGCTCATCCTGCAGCAGCAAGGCGGCACATAGCAGGCTTTGGGAAAATGTGTGTCTCGGTCTGTGTGGGCTGCTGTAAAATATACCAGAAAGTAGGAGGCATAAAAACAGCAGGATTGTGTGTCTCCCAGCTCTGCAGGCCAGGACCTCCAAGATCAAGGTCCCCTGCAGCCTCAGTGTGTGGCGAGGGCCCTCTGGTTCATGGACACCTGTCTGTGCGCTGGGAGGGGCGGGGGAGTCCTAGGCCCTCTGTTATCAGAGCCCTAATCTCATGTACTAGGCTCTGCCCTCATGACCTGATGATCCTTGAAGTCCCCAGCTCCCAGGGCCATCCCAGTGGGGCTGGGATTTCGCCAGATGAACTGGGGGCAGGGGACCCACGCATTCAGCTGGCAGCACATAGGAAGGGGTGCAGGTGGTCTCAGAGGA